TGAGCAGGTATCTTCCATCATTCAACATAGGATTCCACCCAAGTATAAAGACCCTGGTTATCCTACCATCTCTTATGTTATTGGGAATTATAAAATTAAGCGAGCTTTACTAGATTTAGGAGCTAGTGTGAATTTGCTCCCTTATAAGTTCTATATTTTGTTTTGCATGTGATTATTAAAAGACTTATAGTTTAGAATTTTTATATTGTGGTATAAAATTATTATTCAGATATTTGATCATAGGGTGATATTTGTGGGTATAATCTTTGGAAACTTTCAAGAAACTATACTCGTCCACTAAGAGGAAATATAAGGGTTTAAAAGCTTATTGCATATGCTAAATACAATCGTGAATCCTATAAAAGTAGAGATGGTGTTGTTTTATTTTTGTTTGCCTTACTAGGAACTAGCAAGGACTAGGTTGGGAGGTGTGATTATCATTGAAAAATGTAATAATTTGATGGGTAAAGTTAATAATTTGTTTTGGAAAAAGGTGATAAAAGTAATGATTTATTAAAGGTTTGATGATATAATAATAATGAAAGAAGTATGTTTGTTTTGTAGGTAAATGATAAAAAAAATGGAAGTTATAATGGTAGATGAAGAGCCATAATTGAGGATAGAGTTACTAAAATGCGCATCCGGACAGAGAATGTTATTGCGTCCGGACGGAGTTGCCAGAATGTTAAGACAGAAGCCTGTGTGATGAATTACAGTATACTGTCACGTGCGTTCGGACAGTGGATTTGTTGCGTCCGGACACATGTTACTGAAGGATGATGATTCTGATGGTAGAGTTAGATTTGAATTAGTTTGGTGCTAGGGAAATATATATAAGGAAGATCATTGTTCTAGGAGAGGGATATATATATTTCTTTGTTTTAGTTTTAAATAATTGATTTTTTTTTTTGGAGAATTTCCTTATGTCTAGCTAAAAGGTTTGATTAGAGTTCAAGGAGAATCTCTCAATGAAGTACAGTAATATTGTTGACTTAATGATTTAACAATATGTAGTATTTTAGCTTTTGTTTATTATTAAAGTTTTTGCTCTGTAAAGATTTTTGAATCGTTGTATCTTATACCTTGATTTATTTTCTTGCGAGACAAATANTTTGCATCTTGCCCACATCATGGATATAAAAGCTAGCGTGTATTAAGTTTCTTTTGTGAATGTTTAATTCCTCCAATGCGCCAATTTGTAAAAATGATGTGTAATGGTGACTTTATGAATAAGGAACCGAATAAGGCTTTGATTTTCTAGATCGTTTAGCCGAGAATACACAATCTTGAGATATTACATCCCAATAACCTTCTAAGAATAGNTCTCCAATACGCCAATTTGTAAAAATGATGTGTAATGGTGACTTTATGAATAAGGAACCGAATAAGGCTTTGATTTTCTAGATCATTTAGCCGAGAATACACAATCTTGAGATATTACATCCCAATAACCTTCTAAGAATAGNGTTAGGATCTGAAAACTAAGTCATCATAACTACTGAATGGATTTGTGAGGGTGCAACCAATGCTCTAGTATTTTATGCATTGTTTTAAGTAATTTAATTTGTTTTATCAATTAAAACGTCCTTCGCAAAAAAAAAGTTTTCATACATTTGTTAATTAATTAAGTTTGATAACTATTATTTTCACTATTCCTTAAGAGTTCGGGCTCGATCTTCCAAGTCTATATTATTTTGCACANAGGAATGTAAATTCTTCATCAACTGGGGGGCAAGTACCAGTTGAGAGATGATGATAACCTAGGGGTAATAATTGTTACATTGTCTAAGAGGGTTGAGGCTATGAAATTTAAAAAAATTAATGAGATTGATGTTGTTCATACTGAGGACATTTGCAGTATTGTGAAATCCCTGGACACTCCATCAAGAAGTGTCCAATAATTCCTGTTTTAAAAGAAGTTTTACATGATCAATCAAATGTTACAAATACTTTCTCAAAACCTTATAACAACCCTTATTCTAATACATATAACTAGGTGAAAAAATCACCCTAATTTTAGCTGGAGGGGTGACAATCATGCATCACAAATACATCAATAGAATTCCTCTAATTTCGTTCCCTACACTTCACCTCCAAAGAGGAATTTTGAAGAGGTATTGTCTCAATTTATGTAAAGTCAGACAAATTTTAACAATCAAACACTCAAGCTATAAATGATATCAGAAGTATTTTTACTAAATTGACTACTGCCCCATGCCATCAACAGAAAGGTAAGTTTCCAACTGAAGCCGCAGGGTCAATTTAATGTAAATGAGACTGACACTTCTGATACAGTACATGAGCAGATTAAGTCTATCACTACACTTCGTAGTGGAAAAATAATAAACAAAACCGTTCCCACTAAAGTTCAAGAATTAGGGGAAATCTCAAAACTTATGGAGAGTGGTGATAAACTTGACCAACCTAAAATCATTAAGCCTGAGAGGTATTCAACATCTGCACCATTTCCACTTACATCTGTCAAGCCAAATATGCACAGTGATATGTTAAAAATATTTAAACAAGTAAAAATCAACATTCCTTTGTTGGATGCTATAAAACAGATACCTTTTTATGCAAAATTTTTAAAAGATTTGTGCAATGTTAAGTGAAAATTAAATGTGAAAAAAAAATTATTTTTAACTGAGCAGGTATCTTCCATCATTCAACATAGGATTCCACCCAAGTATAAAGACCCTGGTTATCCTACCATCTCTTATGTTATTGGGAATTATAAAATTAAACGAGCTTTACTAGATTTAGGAGCTAGTGTGAATTTGCTCCCTTATAAGTTCTATATTTTGTTTTGCATGTGATTATTAAAAGACTTACAGTTTAGAATTTTTATATTGTAGTATAAAATTATTATTCAGATATTTGATCATAGGGTGATATTTGTGGGTATAATCTTTGGAAACTCTCAAGAAACTATACTCGTCCACTAAGAGGGAATATAAGGGTTTAAAAGCTTATTGCATATGCTAAATACAATCGTGAATCCTATGAAAGTAGAGATGGTGTTGTTTTATTTTTGTTTGCCTTACTAGGAACTAGCAAGTACTAGGTTGGGAGGTGTGATTATCATTGAAAAATGTAATAATTTGATGGGTAAAGTTAATAATTTGTTTTGGAAAAAGGTGATAAAAGTAATGATTTATTAAAGGTTTGATGATATAATAATAATGAAAGAAGTATGTTTGTTTTGTAGGTAAATGATAAAAAAAAAAATGGAAGTTATAATGGTAGATGAAGAGCCATAATTGAGGATAGAGTTACTAAAATGCGCATCCGGACAGAGAGTGTTATTGCGTCCGGACAGAGTTGCCAGAATATTAAGACAGAAGTCTGTGTGATGAATTAGAGTATACTGTCACGTGCGTTCGGACAGTGGATTTGTTACGTCCGGACACATGTTACTGAAGGATGATGATTCTGATGGTAGAGTTAGATTTGAATTAGTTTGGTGCTAGGGAAATATATATAAGGAAGATCATTGTTCTAGGAGAGGGATATATATATATTTCTTTGTTTTAGTTTTAAATAATTGATTTTTTTTTTTGGAGAATTTCCTTATGTCTGGCTAAAGGTTTGATTAGAGTTCAAGGAGAATCTCTCAATGAAGTACAGTAATATTGTTGACTTACTGATTTAACGATATGTGGTATTTTAGCTTTTGTTTATTATTAAAGTTTTTGCTCTGTAAAGATTTTTGAATCGTTGTATCTTATACCTTGATTTATTTTCTTGCGAGACAAATAACTAGTTATTCCCTGCTTAAGTTGATTACAATTTTTCCGCATAATATTATAACTCTAGCAATATGAGGATGGGTCAAGAATTACTTTGCTAAGGAAATTTGATTTGTTGTAGACTTTGAGCACAATAAATACTTACATTTGGTAAACAATTCTTTGATTTATCTAAATGAACCTTTAGATATAAATAGTAGTGTTTTCGTGTTTTTATTGCTAAATTCTCTAACTGAGGTCAATTGACAATTTGATTCTTTTTAGGATCTGAAAACTAAGTCATCATAACTACTGAATGGATTTGTGAGGGTGCAACCGATGCTCTAGTATTTTATGCATTATTTTAAGTAATTTAATTTGTTTTATCAATTAAAACGTCCTTCGCCAAAAAAAAGTTTTCATACATTTGTTAATTAATTAAGTTTGATAACTATTATTTCACTATTCCTTAAGAGTTCGGGCTCGATCTTCCAAGTCTATATTATTTTGCACAACTTCAACTTGGGTGTTGAGATTTAAATTTGTAGCAGTTAGTACATCTCCAAGTTTTACAATTTTTGTGGATTTTTAATACAAGTTTTTTGAATTTATTAATAACAAAAAAATTACAAATTTTAAAGTTTGAATTATAAGTTTTTTAGGTCAAGTTAATATTTTTGTAGTAACTTTGTTATCGGTATTAAAAATGTTACGCCCGATGTTTATATTTTTAAGATTAATTACAAGAAAACATAAAAGTTGTTAAAAAAAAATCACAGACTAATATTTTTTTTCTGGTATGGTAGCCTCTCCATATGGTTTTCATGCCTTTACCCTTCAAATTTAAGTTCTCTTCAATAATCAAAATTTCATTTCAGTGCATAATTTTGGTAAACTTGAAAACAAAAGTATTTCAGATAATATTTCAAAAACAAAGTAGAAATGAAAAAAAAAAATTGAAAATTAATTTCCACAACATTGATTAAAACACACTGGTCAAAACATGCCGAAACACCTCGAAATCTACCGAAACACATTAAAACAAAAGAATTTTAATATTCAATCAATAATTTGAACAATTTTTATAAAAAAGGAAATGCTTCAAACATTTTAACCGTTTCAAAACGAAATTTAGTTCCTTGATTCTCTTACACCGGTAAGACCTAAATCATATGCCTTAGTGCGAATCACCAACATACAGAAAGAAGAAGCACCATGGAAAGAAGTTCAATGCAACAAATGGTATATCAATGATTACTGGCTACCAAAAAGGGATTGTTTCATCATAATATAAATACCAATCACCATGCAATATCAGAGCCATTTTTAATGTTGATCTGAATACAGCATTTCAATGTATCTATGTCTGTTGTAGAAAGATATATGCAAATAATAGAACTTGGTGATATAATAGCACTCTAGTTGCGAGTGCTGCGGGTGTATAACAATACTACATCAAACGAACACTATATCAATACCCAAAGCAAATGAAGGCACAACGTGCACCCACGTCCCAACCAGGATTTGGATGTTGCAAACTCTCCCTTTGGGAGGCAAGAGATGTCATTCAACCAAATGGAAGCTTCAGAATTCTTGACTGCAGATCTTCAGAAGAGAGACTAACCTTCTCAACTCAGCCCAACAAAAGCCATCACTATTCTCTATTCCACATCTTCCAATTGTAGCTTCCAGCACATTGGGTCTAATTCGGCCTGTCAATCATACAAATATGATTTCAACAATACAATTTAATCTGATTGAAACTACATAGCCATATCACATTCAAACTGAGAAGTATATGATTTGTTATCTCATGAAAAATTGGTGAGCCTCATAAGAGATAAAAGCACACCTGAAACACTTTATCCCTCCATTGAAAAACACAACCACGAGCTTCTAGATGTTCAAAAAGGCGTTGAGGCAACAATGTTTTGAAGGATGCCTGGAGCTTCACTTTCGTTAGTCCTCCACATGCCAACAGTGTAGCTGCTAATCCGCTTGGAGTCAACCCTTTCAGGTGGAGGATTGTCATGCTCTGTAGACAGCTGATGCTAGCCAGGGACAAGAGCCCCACATTTGTGACAGAGGTAAATGAAAAATTTATCTGCACATGTTTGAATAAACAACTACTGTTAGATATCTGTTGCTTTAAAGTCTGGTTTGTTACGAAAACAAACAGATATGATAGGGACTGTGCCTGTCTGAGGTTTTGAGAAAAGTGAGCCAGTGGAATCATTCCAGAATCATTGATGTTGTAGCACTTCTTGATGTCAAGCTTGGTAAGTTGCTTACATCCCACAGCAATAGCTGCTAAACCTAAGGATGTGATAAGAGGACATCCTCGACTTTCAAGTGTTTTTAACTTGGTACATTTTCCCAATGATATCATGGAGTGATCAGTAATCTCTGTACAATATGCCATATTAATCATTTCAAGGCCAGTGCAGCCGCGAGCAACCTCTAAAAAACCCAAGTCCGTAATCCCTGCAGATCTGAACAACAGAACCACATTCAATAAGTAAGAACATGATGTGCTAAGAAAATGTTGTGACATGACTGAAATAACATTGAGAACAAAAATAGCAGATCAACCCAATGCCTGACTTTGACCCTCAGACAGTTACTCTTCTATGTAGAAATCTAGTTTGCCTAACTGAGGCAGAAACTTGAAGCATTAATCAGGATTAGAGTATAACCTATGAAGCACGAATATGGATACAGGATACGGGTACGATACGATATGGATACAACAAAGATACGACTATAATAAAATATATTTTATATTTTTATTATTTTCAACCATCTTAATACTTATCTTAATACTTATATATTTTGATAGTTCTTTAACATACAATAAGGAAAATTAGTAATTCTTTTTAGTTTCAAGAAAATATATACCATATCACTATGGTATATTCACAAAGTGAAGTGACTAATTAAAGGAATCAAAACTAATATTTACCTAGTATTTAGAAGTAATTTTTGTTAAGATTATAATGTAATAACTTTATTTTATGCATTTTTGACATGTAATTGTAGATAATACTGAAGAAACACTCATGTGCCTTTAAAGTAATATGAATTTTTATTAATGTATTGTATGGTATGTGAATTCAAAAAGAGATGTTAAAAATTTAACTCAAAAATTATGTTGTTCAACTACAAAAGTATCTGTGAAGTATCCTAATATTTAATTATTATCGGATACGTAGAAAAAATATTTGATACGTATCTTTGAGTATCCAATACGGGTACGCCAACCTCAACAAAGTATCCGTGCTTCATAGAGTATAACTTTATATCTCAAATAACATACTGCGAGCCAAAGCTTCGAATGATTATCACCCCAATCCCCAACCCTCCCAAAAGACAAAATGAAACACTTTTTTTTTTTTTTAATGCTGATCCAATTCCATATATCAACAGTGTTGCTTTGTTAGATAATTTCCTCACTGGTCATAAAATAAATTTAAGAAATGAATTCTCAGTCTGATCAGTGCAAATTTATTTGTAAATATCTACACTGCTTCCAATGACATTGACCATCGTACATTGAATCCTATGATAACTGAGAAAGTCCATGCTCCCAGACCAGTTCTTTCAAAAGAGAAGCCTAATATAATAACACACAAGTCATGGACGGCAAGTTGCAAACCTGTATAAATCAAGCTCTATAAGCTTTGAGCAGCACATGCCAATGTACGTAAGCCCCTCATCAGTTATGTTTAAGCAGATTCCTAACTTCAAACTGGAGAGTTTGGAACACCTTGAGATGGACTTCAAGCCTGTGCACACAAATGACATGAGTATACCAGCAAATAACATAATTCCAAATTATCCCGAGTTAGGCAAAAAGGGTAAACCTTCATTGTCAATTTCATTATCTGTAAGGTCAAGCTCCTCAAGAAACAGGCATCGCTCTCCAATCAAAACAAAAGCTTCTCTTGGAACCAGGCTGCATGACTCCATCCCGAGGGAAGTGAGGAAGGCACAAGAATTTGCAATGTGGGAAATTGAGACATGAGTAATCTTGCGGCAACATGTAATGTCTAGCTTCCTCAAGTCTTTGTGCTTTGTTACCAGGGAGGAGAGACCTTCATCTGTCACTCCCAAGCATTTACTTAAGCTTAGCTCTCTCAGTGATACACACCAGTTTCCAAGGGCTTTTAGCCCAGAGCATGTAACCGGGCAACCATCAAGTTTGATTGACTGCAACATGGAAAGCTTTTGCAAACTATCAGCAAGAAGGAGAGTCACCTGAACCACCACCAGTTGTAGACAATGAGCTAATATTAAAACCTTCACTACGAAAAGGAGGCAAAAGTATTAAAAGGCTTACAGGAGAACAATATGCTAAGACAAGTTGCCGAAGAAATCGAGTGCTGCTGGTTAGAGAAGATATACCAACATGACTAACATTCTGACAACTTGACATATCAAGTATCTGTTAAAAACAACGTAACCTTATCAGTTAACAATCAAATATGAAATAGAAACATAATTTAAGTTTTAATTGGATGACTACACTATTCCTTTGCTCAGTACAAGGAATGCACGTGATATTCCATGAAGAAATAACATTTGAAATATCATTCACCAAAAAAGCTTTAAAATCATAATCCTATGATACTGTTCATAGTATATGACAAATTTGATTGCTTAAGGTGAAAACAGAAGCATAGAGAAAGCATTAAGTTTTAACTTATTTCTCCTTTTAGGAAATGACATTCAGCTTTTCAAAGGTGGAGCTCATATATAACAACTGCATCTTTGCTTCCAAGTTAAGCTAGAGGGATGCGACAAAAGAATGTCAAAAAAGTTCAGTCACTTCCGCAACGAGCGATACCTCTAGTGACTTGCACCCTTGTTTGAAGGCTGCAAGACCATCATCATCAATACCAAAGCACCCTTCTAGAAATAAATCTTTGAGATATTGCAATTTTAAGATCGCCGGTAAGCATTTATTTGTTATCTGCAACATGAAAATGAAAAAATAAATGACAAGAAGATTTTTCCACATGTACCCAACAGNAATACGACTATAATAAAATATATTTTATATTTTTATTATTTTCAACCATCTTAATACTTATATATTTTGGTAGTTCTTTAACATACAATAAGGAAAATTAGTAATTCTTTTTAGTTTCAAGAAAATANGATACGACTATAATAAAATATATTTTATATTTTTATTATTTTCAACCATCTTAATACTTATCTTAATACTTATATATTTTGATAGTTCTTTAACATACAATAAGGAAAATTAGTAATTCTTTTTAGTTTCAAGAAAATATATACCATATCACTATGGTATATTCACAAAGTGAAGTGACTAATTAAAGGAATCAAAACTAATATTTACCTAGTATTTAGAAGTAATTTTTGTTAAGATTATAATGTAATAACTTTATTTTATGCATTTTTGACATGTAATTGTAGATAATACTGAAGAAACACTCATGTGCCTTTAAAGTAATATGAATTTTTATTAATGTATTGTATGGTATGTGAATTCAAAAAGAGATGTTAAAAATTTAACTCAAAAATTATGTTGTTCAACTACAAAAGTATCTGTGAAGTATCCTAATATTTAATTATTATCGGATACGTAGAAAAAATATTTGATACGTATCTTTGAGTATCCAATACGGGTACGCCAACCTCAACAAAGTATCCGTGCTTCATAGAGTATAACTTTATATCTCAAATAACATACTGCGAGCCAAAGCTTCGAATGATTATCACCCCAATCCCCAACCCTCCCAAAAGACAAAATGAAACACTTTTTTTTTTTTTTAATGCTGATCCAATTCCATATATCAACAGTGTTGCTTTGTTAGATAATTTCCTCACTGGTCATAAAATAAATTTAAGAAATGAATTCTCAGTCTGATCAGTGCAAATTTATTTGTAAATATCTACACTGCTTCCAATGACATTGACCATCGTACATTGAATCCTATGATAACTGAGAAAGTCCATGCTCCCAGACCAGTTCTTTCAAAAGAGAAGCCTAATATAATAACACACAAGTCATGGACGGCAAGTTGCAAACCTGTATAAATCAAGCTCTATAAGCTTTGAGCAGCACATGCCAATGTACGTAAGCCCCTCATCAGTTATGTTTAAGCAGATTCCTAACTTCAAACTGGAGAGTTTGGAACACCTTGAGATGGACTTCAAGCCTGTGCACACAAATGACATGAGTATACCAGCAAATAACATAATTCCAAATTATCCCGAGTTAGGCAAAAAGGGTAAACCTTCATTGTCAATTTCATTATCTGTAAGGTCAAGCTCCTCAAGAAACAGGCATCGCTCTCCAATCAAAACAAAAGCTTCTCTTGGAACCAGGCTGCATGACTCCATCCCGAGGGAAGTGAGGAAGGCACAAGAATTTGTAATGTGGGAAATTGAGACATGAGTAATCTTGCGGCAACATGTAATGTCTAGCTTCCTNCTGCATGACTCCATCCCGAGGGAAGTGAGGAAGGCACAAGAATTTGCAATGTGGGAAATTGAGACATGAGTAATCTTGCGGCAACATGTAATGTCTAGCTTCCTCAAGTCTTTGTGCTTTGTTACCAGGGAGGAGAGACCTTCATCTGTCACTCCCAAGCATTTACTTAAGCTTAGCTCTCTCAGTGATACACACCAGTTTCCAAGGGCTTTTAGCCCAGAGCATGTAACCGGGCAACCATCAAGTTTGATTGACTGCAACATGGAAAGCTTTTGCAAACTATCAGCAAGAGGGAGAGTCACCTGAACCACCACCAGTTGTAGACAATGAGCTAATATTAAAACCTTCACTACGAAAAGGAGGCAAAAGTATTAAAAGGCTTACAGGAGAACAATATGCTAAGACAAGTTGCCGAAGAAATCCAGTGCTGCTGGTTAGAGAAGATATACCAACATGACTAACATTCTGACAACTTGACATATCAAGTATCTGTTAAAAACAACATAACCTTATCAGTTAACAATCAAATATGAAATAGAAACATAATTTAAGTTTTAATTGGATGACTACACTATTCCTTTGCTCAGTACAAGGAATGCACGTGATATTCCATGAAGAAATAACATTTGAAATATCATTCACCAAAAAAGCTTTAAAATCATAATCCTATGATACTGTTCATAGTATATGACAAATTTGATTGCTTAAGGTGAAAACAGAAGCATAGAGAAAGCATTAAGTTTTAACTTATTTCTCCTTTTAGGAGATGACATTCAGCTTTTCAAAGGTGGAGTTCATATATAACAACTGCATCTTTGCTTCTAAGTTAAGCTAGAGGGATGCGACAAAAGAATGTCAAAAAAGTTCAGTCACTTCCGCAACGAGCAATACCTCTAGTGACTTGCACCCTTGTTTGAAGGCTGCAAGACCATCATCATCAATACCAAAGCACCCTTCTAGAAATAAATCTTTGAGATATTGCAATTTTAAGATCGCCGGTAAGCATTTATTTGTTATCTGCAACATGAAAATGAAAAAATAAATGACAAGAAAATTTTTCCACATGTACCCAACAGTAAAGTAAACTAGTTGATTAGTCACATGGAAATTCACCATTTAACACAATAATAATGGAACACTTGGGAGAAGAAAATTTCCAACTGAAATAACTCACATCAAGTAGGTAAAATAATGGCAATTATAATTTTCAATTCAAATACCTGTAGTTCTTATTACATGCTTTACCCAACTCCAGCAACATACAGCAGGAACATGGACAAATTATTCCTAATGCTGACAATGTCCAATTCCATATGCATGCTAGCTCTAGTGACTATCAGACCTAAGCATCAGTTAATCTATCCTCAATTTCCAGTTAAATTTATATCCATCACAAGTAACAAAGCCTCCTCAGACACAGAATCAAGAAGGCACCTCAGGTCAGATTTATTTACCATTTGTAATTGATATGGCTGGTGCAAATTAGTCTAGTTTTTATTTGACCTTAGTCTTAAGCAAGAAACAAATGGAATCAGATTTTTCATATGCTCTCCCTCATATTATAGCCTTATGAAAATCTGGAAAAGCCAATCATCACTATATAATGAGCTACTGAACTGAACGTTCCTGCGAAACTAGACAATGCCACCTACCTAATTTAATGAGCTTCTAACGTGGGGTAGTTAGTTATCATATATTTGCTATTATGGTTCCATAAAGGTATAGCCATATCACAATGGGAATCAGACAATCATACAAAAAAAAGAAGAAATTCATAATTCACTGTCTTACAGAATAAAATTACAAAATCATATGAAAAGCATCTAAATACACCAAAAAAATCAGTTAATCATACATTAATTAATTTAATTACAGTTAAATATTCACTTTCATATTATAAAAAGAATTGGTGGAGCTCTAAGGTGCACACCATAGACTTTCTCAATCTCGTGTTAGTTTGTAGACCATTAAAATGTATTTGCTCAATTTAGACACCCATGACACATGCTGGGTATGTGTGTATTGTGTTGTATCTGCAAATGATGCTCGTCCAACTCCAACACCTCTATGAAGTGGACTTGCTACTAAAAACAGTATTAATTCCTTACCATAATATTTCATAAAAATATATTTTTGAACAAACATTACCTACTTTGACAGCCCCACGAAAAGAATCAAAAGACAAGAATATTACAAACAATACCTTAACTCTATGATATTAATTAATCAATACAATTTTTTTTTTTTTGAGGGGCCTGGAGAAGGAGAGGGTGACTTGAACCCTTGATCTCAGGCAAAACTTTTGTCTTTATGAGATAAGGAATACGAATACTATTGGACCATGTCCCAAATAGAAACCCTATAACTTCAAAAATAAGTACTGTATCCAATCATCAAGAAGGAAAAGGACATAGCATCTCAACAAAAAGAAAAAGAAAGACATAGCATCTCAACTAATCATAAAGACACCCTAAAACAAGGACTGAGGCAAATGGATCAATTTGGTTAAAGTCTATACAAGAACTGAAAGTAATCAAACTGAAGAACCATATCTATAAGACTTTCTAGATCCAAATCAAGTCAAGAACAGTAAAACAACTAAACTATGCAGAGAACACATCAATCATTAAGAACAATACTTATTGCACCAGTTGGATTCAGATTAAAACTGGAAGGATTAAACAGTTACCCTTACTCTATACATAAGAAAAAAATGCAACATTAAGCATGTTCCAAAACAAGAAAAACAGTTTCATTACCGGCAAGTAGGAGAGATCCAAGCTGCGAATCTCCTTACACTTTACAGCAATCAAATTCACCCCTAAGTCACCAATACCAACACACCATTTCAAGCTTAACAGCCTCAACTTCCTACACCTAACTGCTATACACCCAATCCCAATATCTGTAATACTCTTACACCTAGCCAACCACAACCTCTCCAAATTCTTGGCTTCGGCAATAGCAGCGGCCGCCGAGTCCCTCAACTCTGTCGCATTTGACAAATCAATCTCAACCAAATTAGTGCAGTTTGTCACCAAATTTGAGAGCCCCACATGAGTGAAAAACTTTGACCTGGATAGATCGATTGACCTCAACATGTTTTTACAAACAACCGATATGACATGAAGCGAGTTATCTGTAATTCGAGGACACAGAGACAGATCAAGATGGGTTACATATGGGTATCGGTGCAGAATTTTGGTCAAATGCTCTGAACGGAGAGGTTTAAGGGTTCTACGGTGGCGAGACTCGATTGCATAGAAAGATCTGCACATAAGAGAAAATGACTTTTTGTCAAGTGGGTCGTCATTGAGATAGTCTAGAATTGAAAAGACTATTTCTTCAGAGAGACGATCAAAGTGGTTGTATTCGGATTCAACGATTGATTTCTGCTTCTTCATTGTCAACAAATCTTGAAGCTTAATGGGTTTTAGAGAGGCTAATGATTTAAGTTTATAACAGCTCAAAGTTTGTGACTTTGTTGCTCTAATATAGGTCTTTCATGGTGCTTTTTGAAGGGTTTGAAGCTGAAGAAAAAAGGGTGTTGAAGAAATATTGAGGTAAGCAGGACGAGAAAAGGATGATGAAGTTGAAGGATGAAGATGAAGACTAGGAATGAAGTTTTGTGTGTATGTGCTTTGATATCAGAGATGGGTTGGAAGATCTAGNTTTCATGGTGCTTTTTGAAGGGTTTGAAGCCGAAGAAAAAAGGGTGTTGAAGAAATATTGAGGTAAGCAGGACGAGAAAAGGATGATGAAGTTGAAGATGAAGATGAAGACGAGGAATGAAGTTTTGTGTGTATGTGCTTTGATATCAGAGATGGGTTGGAAGATCTAGAGGTAAACCAACCGCCAACAGAAAACATATTATTGGGTTTGGTTTGGGCGTTAAGAACTGATAAGAAGAATAGCCCAATTACCCTATCACCCTTCTTTAGCTTTTTCCAAAAGTTTGTTAGTGATGATGCTGCTTTTTTGTTTAAAGACAAAACTACCCTCTGGAGATTCTACCGACAAAATATATTTTCCTTTTGCAGTTAAAATCAGAAATTTTATAGCAATATTTTGTACAGAAATAAAAACAAATCAGGAAACTTGTATTTTTTTTTTTTTAAACCCAGAACCCTCCTCCCACCAACCGAACTCATTTGAATGAGTCCATTTGGTTACAACCAAAAATCATGAAATCAGGATTTTTTTAGCTTTAATTTTAGATGAACTTCCCCCAATTATATTTGATAATAGAATAGAACGATTTGGTCTCATTTTTGAAGTGACCAAACGAAATTAAAGATGAATTCAAAAATCGAATCTCAAATCCCTGTAAATAATTAATGGTCGAGTCTCAATACCCATCGTAAACTATGTTCATTGCTTGGGCAAAGGACATATGAATATACCGATCCAACCAAGGGCCTGTTTGTTTGAGGTATAAGGGTGGTATAAAGAAAATAGTACGTGGAGCTTACCTTATACATTGTTTGTTTGACATTTTTTACTTGGTATTAATTTTTGGATCATAGTACTGACCCGGTGTGAACAGTAACTTTTATTTCTTGTATACGGTGCTAAACAATATTACCTACCCAGTGGTATAATATTTTCAGTATAAATTTTATGGAGGTATAATAAAATAAAAAGACTCAAATGCCTTCATGTACAATGCCCCATATAAAAGCCGGTTACAATTTTTGACTTTTTACAAGGTTACAATTATCTTTTTATATTGAATAATTGTAATTTTTGAATTTTTTAAGTAGGTATTACATAGATAATATTTGTGACAAACAAAAAAAAATATGGTATTATAATTTAAGACCGAATATAATATATCATTAAATTAGAATAAAATAAATATAAAATTTTATACCACATAAACTTTATCCCTCTCAAATATACAGGCCCCAAGCGAATATCTTATTGAAGGACTATCAGATCTGTTGCGATAGATGTTGATAACATCTTATATTGAGATTTGAGGAGTAGTTTGGCCTGCAAGGCCTCCCTCCTTGCTTAGTAGTAAAAAAGGCTATTTTGGTCATTTAGGGGTCGTACGATAAGGGTGGTTGCGTATTTTGATAGTGCAATGGTAATGCCGTACGTTGAAGGACAGAAAAGGATGGGCGGTAAATGGATGTGGTTGGCGAGGGTAGTTTCGGGACATAGAAAAAGTCATTATCAGAACTTGGACTAGTTCATTCGGTGGAGAAACCATATGAGGAAGGACATACTCAAGTCCGGACAGTACGTTTTTATTTGTTTTGAATTTTGAACCCAATAAATAAAAAACAAAAAAAAAAAATAGTATTATCTTGGGTAGAGAATTTGTGGGTACAGGGCAGTGCTTTGAAAAATAATATTAATTAATTCCCAATGTGGAAATAAATATTCCTTTCCACTAGGTCAGGCCGTACTTATGAGTGGCTCTGCAAGAGTACCAGCCTTACCCTGATAAGAACGGCTAGAGAGAGAAAAAGACTTGGAATGTGGGGTTGGAGTCAAAAAAGAGGGAGAGACAGGTATGGGGTGAGGTAGGGGAGGTGGTGACTGATTGCAGGGCCCTACATACAGCATCTTGCCAAGAGAAGAAAGAAAGAAAGAGATTTGTGGCCATATTTACTATTAGGACCATTGCTGTGATGTGAATTTACTGTGATGCCCTCAATTTGGAGGAAGGTTCTCGATTTCTTGGTGAACAGGTTAGATCCTATTTTGGGCCATTTACGCTTGAGAACACGTGGCTGACATAGAAAAGGCATCCAATGAATGATAGATTAGGAATTCGTTACTTGGGTATTTATTAACTCTGATGCTGAGAAGATAAAAGAGATTATGTTCTCATTTTCAGTGCTATCTGTTTTTTTAACAGTAAAAGATAAATTATTTACGTTAAAATTAAAATATTTATGACTAATAAATTTTTTATAATATAATTTTATAAAATTATTAAAATTTAAATAAAAAAAAATTTGAATATAATTTATACCACAAATTCATGAATCTAATATAACATAGCACAAATTAGAGGATTACAAATATGTGTACACTATTCGAGAAGAAGGAAAGAATTCGAACCCAAATTATCCAAGACAATAGAGTTTATTTTACACTTACGAAAAAGTTATTAAAAATAGGAAAATATTACATAATTTAAATAAAATTTAAAATTTAAAATTTAAATACATATAATATGACTCATTCATTTAAAAGATGATATATATTTAAATTATAATTTTTAAAATTTAATTTAAATATTATAACATTGCTCTTGAAAATATTTTGGACTATTAAAGGGGGACAAATGCGTGTGAAATTGCCCCTGCATGAGTCATTGGCGTTCGAGTCGGAGTAACACGTTATGAAAATGTTTTATCTATTGACCTTTGATTAGTATTAGTAATGCATTATGTGTGTTGTACTTGAATAATTTTCATACATAAAAATTAATATATGTGTATTTGAATTAAATATTATCTCAAATTTATTATACTTAATTTTTCATTATTCACATTTTATTATAAGATTATGAAAACTTTGCATATTTCTAAAATTTGTTATTCTAACAATAAGTAAAAAAAAAAGTTAAAGTTCTATTTTTTTTTTTTTTTAGAATTTTGTGATTGAGAGTAATTTTTTAATAATATTTGAGAAATTAAATTTTTTGAAATTCATTCGATTAAGATTTCACTTATAATTCCTTGAATAAAATAAAAGTAATTGTTAATATACTACTTAATTATATTGAAACTTTATTGTAATTAAGAATTAGTTAGGTTTATTAGAATAAGATTTAATATAATACTTTATAATATATATTTTAAAACATATCAAAATTTTTAAAAAATCAAGTTTTACTAAAGAATAAACTACAAACTATTTTCGCATAAAATCTTAATACAACTTAAAAAATTTATTGTAAACTAAAAAATTATATTGATATAGCATAAATTAATTTTTAAAAAATTATGTATATAATTATTTTTTATCTTAGAAATTAAAGGTCTAAACTTTTTATATAAAAAAAAAATAAACACATATGCAGATAATGTTATATTTGTACATGAGAGGAGTAATATTAGATTGATGAAGGTTTTGAAAGTTTTTTGAACTCTTTATTGAAAATATAATAATACATATTTTTGAAAGATAATATAGTCAATCAAAATTTTTTATAGAAATTAATATTTATATAGAGAGAATAGATAATTAAAAGAGATGTTAGNCAAAAAAAAAAATAAACATATATGCAGATAATGTTATATTTGTACATGAGATGAGTAATATTAGATTGATGAAGGTTTTGAAAGTTTTTTGAACTCTTTATTGAAAATATAATAATACATATTTTTGAAAGATGATATAGTCAATCAAATTTTTTTATAGAAATTAATATTTATATAGAGAGAATAGATAATTAAAAGAGATGTTAGAGGTAATTTAGATATTTAATTGTGAAATGATAGAGTGATTTTTATAACTTTTTATAAAGGTAAAATAAAAAAATAAAAAAAAATTCTTGTTAAAGTACTTTTATTAGTAGTATATATATAGATGTTAGAGTTNGAATAGAGTGGTCTTTATAACTTTTTATAAAGGTAAAATAAAAAATAAAAAAAAAATTCTTGTTAATGTACTTTTATTAGTAGTGTATATATATATATATAGATGTTAGAGTTTATTTAAAGATTTAAGTATATAAGGAGTTAATAGATAATTTAGATATTTAATTGTGAAAAGATAAAATAATCTATANTGATAGAGTGATTTTTATAACTTTTTATAAAGGTAAAATAAAAAAATAAAAAAAAATTCTTGTTAAAGTACTTTTATTAGTAGTATATATATAGATGTTAGAGTTTATTTAAAGATTTAAGTACATAAGGAGTTAATAGATAATTTAGATATTTAATTGTGAAAAGATAAAATAATCTATATAACTTTTTATAAGAGTAAAATAAAAAATCAAATACTTTTCATACTAAAGTACTTTTATTAGTAGTATAGATTAATGTTTTGTGCAGGCTATAGACAAGTTTCCTTCCATTCCTTTCTTTTTATCCTTTCTTCTTTGGGTAAAAAAAGATCTTTTAGCACTTGAATTTATACATTATGGTAGTAGTAGAACCAAGCCATCCTTTGTGTGAGATACCCGAAAAGTCTTCTATATTGTCTACAAAGAAATTCAGAGAAAACACTACCGACAAAGAGCACGAACAATGAAAAAGAAACTCTTTGTAGCATCCGCTTCACCCGTATCTCTCTCATAATGCATGGATACAAATCTTAGTGAAGACTAAAAACATTATGGGGTAACACATTCACTTAAGGGGTTAAGCATTTGCTAGATTACAGCAGACAAAACTGAACACAAATTGAATTTATTTTATGTTTTTGAATGTCCATAGGAATCTTCATCTGGGTAAGCATTTGCTATATGTCCCCAAACAACATTAACTTTAACAATTATTTATCCGGAATAAAGGTTGATGGGGAACAAATATTCCATAGCTATGACAGAATACCCAGTATAAACTGGCATCAATCCATCTAGACAGGCATTACTTTAACTGAAATCCAAAAGAAAAAAAGTGGATAATTTTCAGGGGAGGTGAAGACCCAAGGGTCAAGACAATAAAGTACCATATATCAAATAACCAAATGAGACAGAGAAACATCCTCTATCAGGTATTATATCTTCTTTATACAAACAAGCTGGGGAGGAACTATCTCAATGGATGTTTAAGAATAGAGTCTCAACTCTCCAGATATCGTCTTTCACCATATGGCCAAATCAATGTTGTGGCGACCAAGTCTACTTCCTGGTCTCTGACCCAATCTGAACTTGAACCCCTGGATTGTAAGAGTAACTTCATTTCGAACTGAAGATCTGAGTAGCTTAAAGCACACAAACTTGTGGATTCGGGCATGAAGCTATCGTATATAACTATCAAGCCTCGGCTACAACACTTCTCATCCTATGGCTAATAGAAAAATTGCAGAGTCAAAATACTGGCCAGCATCACTCAATAACCAAGGCAAAAATTAATAGCTCAAATTGTTGTTTCTGTCTGTGATCGACTCTATCCGAGAAAGCATTTATAACATGGAAGACAAACAAACAAATTTGACAGGATGTATTGATGTTGTAACAGGAACTTCCATGGATGGAACAATGGGCACCCTTGAAGGTGAAACAGCACAAGTTGAAAGGACCCTGCAAGATGGAGAGTAAAAATCAGACTAAATTATCCCGAGGTGCTCAACTAACTTGGGCTACAATTTGATTGTACATGAACATGCAAGTGAGACAGTTGAAAAAACAATCTGGAAATCCACAACTAGGCACTGGCATATGATACAAATGTTGTCTTCAGTGCCTTGCCCAACAAATGCTCTTCACTTTCTGAAGTTATTACCAGTTTCCCACATTACTTAAACCACTAAACCTATCATCTAGTCCTTAAAAGGTCTTCTCTCTTAATTTCGCGCTCATCTACATTGTTTCATTTTTCTGATCTTGCCACTAATCCATCTTGATTATGTGGCGAATAAGGAACTTAGTGTCTACCCGTCACCAAGAATGGCCTATGTTCCAAGAACAAATGGATACCAATATAGTCAGCACCTACCATAGAAATGATGGCTACTGTTGACAATGCGGCCACTATTCAAAATGCACTTGCTGAGTGGAATTCTGGCGTGACTAATGTTGCAAATAATGCGCTGTTTTTTTTTTTCTTCATGCTAATGGCCTATGTTAGGGTTGCTACTACTGAGGTTATCCTTATGATTCAGATATTGCTGATGCTTACATGCAAACCACCATCAAAGATCGTGCTTGAAGCGAAAATCTTGAACCAAATAACAATCCCCAGTTATCAGGGATCGGGGCCTTTTGAAAGAAACTTAATCAGGGTTAACCGGCTTACCTATTCTAGTACCACAGTATCAAAATAAGTGGGGTTCAAGGACCCCAGGTCAAAATTAAGTTTCAGGCTGAAGCATAAGTTTACATTTTGTATTGTTTTATGATAAAGCATCATCTATTTATGTGTCAGTGACCTGAGGCTTACTAATACATTTGGGCTAAAGTTTAACATGAAATAGAATCTTTAGTACCCACATATGCATTTACTATAGTTTTAGCCATCAAGCTTTGGTGGTAAAGGCTTCAACTATTCTGGAGCAACTGCCACTTGAAACACATTGGGTATCCTTGATCAGGATGAGATATTTGGTTGAGAGAGAGAGAGAGAGAGAGAGATTTTTCCATTCCGATGATTGACAAAAAAAGGGGAGTCTTACCCAACAATATGCCAAACCTATAACCCCAATATCTAACTTGTTGCAACATATATGTCAAAGAGTCCTTAGCATACTGGGGTAAGGCTACGTATATTTGACTTTCCCATACCCCACAATGGCGGGAGCCTATTACATTGTGTCACCTTTTAGTTAAGCCATGTGCAAGGTGGAATTAACAATGACAAGTTTATGGAATTCAGCTTTCCAATTTGACAAATAAGAACAAAAAAGGCAAACAAAAGGCACGTGATGTTATCAATAAACCATTTCCATCCAATTCTTACAATATAGAGTTAATGGTGGTTTAGATAAGGACTTCAGTGAATAGCATGCCACAACAAACAAACACCACCTGTTTCAACTTACTTCCAAATTGTAATCGATAGAACTGCCAAGTTGATTGAATCAAGACTCAAGAGCCATCCTTAACCTCGTCTGAATCAGAATCACTTGCATTGTAACCTGATAAAATCAGATCAATTAGGACATATAGAGCACAGCTAATAGCAGCTATATGGCCAAATGCATTCGTGCAAACGCAAGACACAGGTGCAGTGAGAGAAAACGAGAGATCACCAGGACGTTTATGGCTAACTTTCCAAACTGAAGATCGAACTCTTGAAGCTCTCATCATCCAGAATCGTCCCTGAAAACATAGAAGAAGAAATGATATGAAAAGCAAACATACTTCAAAACATAAGCTAATTAGAAACCAAAATACAAGAAATATTCCATGAGTGAGAACAATGAAATACCATAACCTATACTTATTATTCAGGACCAAGGAATTTTAGGGTGAGGTTATTTGAATCCATACCCACCGCATTAAATTCCTTGTCATCAAAAATATTAAATCTATATCTATCCCGAGTGACTAAAGTCACTAAATACACCCCATTCTACTTCAACCCTATTTGTGACTAGACCCACCCTAATTTGCCCCCACCCCGTTAACATGTTAAACATATTATTCACACCCTCTTACAAATCCAATATATAAACTACACTCACTCCCATAATTTTCCACCATCATTAAATGCTAACTTTAAGAACCCAGACATTATGACTTCACCACTAAAATCATGTGAATCCATGCACTTACCCAACACCAAATCATTGACTTGGAAGTTGAAACTTAGTTTCCGTCGGGGTATGCAACCTTGGATTGTTGTTGCATATCTAGCTCTTGTTGCAACTCCTATATCTGTATTTTTTTTTTTTAATCTTCCCAATTGGTCAAGGAAGTTTTTCTAATGGTATATCAACATCATAACCATATTGGAAGTGTAAATAATTGTAACTATATACATATAAAATGAGACCAGTATTAATGAGACTAGTAATTGTAACCATTTGTGAAGTGATTTCAGATACAAATTCTAGAAATGAATGATACTAAAGGAATCGCAATGATTCACAGACCATTAGCTTTCCAAAATCTTCTAATCTTTTAGTCTGTTTTATACTGATTTTCTAGATGAAAGTCTTTTCTCCTTTTTATTTCTTCAGTGTTCTCTTTAAAAGTGTCAGTATTGATTGTTGACGCCAATGTTATCCAGACCGGCCAGACCTATTGGATCGTGAACCGGACCCTAAACCGGTCTGATTTATTAATTGGACCGCCCAAGCAATTGAACCAATTACAAACCGCTAAACCAACCGGTTTTGTTGCGGACAGGCAGTAAAAACCAACGGTTCAACTTTTAACTAGAAAAAAAATTCAAAATCCATTTTTTTGGCAATTTTGCCCTAGAATAGTCTTCTTCTCCACTTCTCCACTGTGCAGCTTTACTAAGTCTTCTTCTCTCTCTCCATTTCTTCACTATGCAGCTTCACTATTTGTCTCGAAAAGTCGAAGTCTTCTCCGGTTCTCCAATGCGGTCCGATCTCCTCTGACTCCCATAATGGTAAGTCTTCTTCTCCCATTTCCCATCTCTTTCTCTCTCTCTCTCTCTATATATATATATATATACACACAATTGATACATTCACACACAGAGTCAAATGCACACACACAATCGATACACATTAAATTATTATATTTTACAATTTTTTTTTATTTTTTTATTGTATAGCCAATCCAACCAGTTGACCAAATGATTGAACAGTGAACAATTGACCTAGTCCCTCCGCAAATTCGATGGTCGGTCTAGTTCTGATAACATTGGTTGAAGCACCAAATATGCAAATGACTAGCACTTATGGGGTGGCTATCTAACCTGATGGAAGTTTGCCATTAAAATTCTTTTTGACCATTGTTTTGAAAAAAAAATTTGTGGATTCTAGAGCAGTCCAAGTTCGCCCTTTAGAATCAAACAATTAGGGCCTGTTTGGTATGTTTTTTGAGAGGGGTTTGGATTGACTTGTCCAAACCCGGGTTTAACCCAAAGATGAGATTCAACATTCAATGCTGTTCATACCCATGTTTGGTATGCGCAGGGATATATGATTATTATGATAATATATTTGTATATAAATGACTATTTTATTTCTTAACTAATTTGTATATATGGGGTATATAGGATATATGAGGGTATAAATGTCATTTGTATTTTAAACCCTTTAACCCACATATGAAACCCACCCCCCCTTGGGTTTCATGAAACCCAAGTATATGGGTTTCATGACCGGGCCATCCAATGAGCTGGGTTTCCAAACCCTAGACTAAACATGGGCTATCAAACATAAGTTTAAGGGGTTTATTCTCCAACCCATAATCCAAACCCCTTTCAAACCCACAAACCAAACAGGCCCTTTGGGTCTCAGGTTTTCCTTTGTCCAAATTAGAGAGTGATTGCCATGGAGATGTGCTTACACAAATTCTTATGCATATACATAGAGCCATAGACAGAGGAATAGCGAGACAGTCATCAAGCAATGTTGGATGGCCAATGATGTATGTGTGTAGATCGGGATGGGAATGGTTTACTTTCTTATGGAATGGGTTAAAATAGTGTGGTCTTAGTCACTAATGGATGGATACAAAATGGAGAGGCTTTGAAGTTTTATAACAGAGAGTCTAATGGGGTGGAGATGGANCTTTCTTATGGAATGGGTTAAAATAGTGTGGTCTTAGTCACTAATGGATGGATACAAAATGGAGAGGCTTTGCAGTTTTATAACAGAGAGTCTAATGGGGTGGAGATGGATATTTAGAGAGTCGGAATAGCCCCACCCAAAATTCAATTCGTTTCACCCAACTTCATAATTTTCCTCTAATTTTTTCTCAAACTAGAACAACAGGAAACATGGTCTGCTTGGTTTGTGACTGTAAAACCATTTTTTGTTTTCAAAATCTAAAAATGGAAGAAACATGTTTGGACAGTTGTGTTCTTTTTTTTATTTTTGGGAAACTGAGAAGAAAAATAACAAAGATTAGGGACCATATGTGGACTGTTTTTGATNTGTGTTCTTTTTTTTATTTTTGGGAAACTGAGAAGAAAAATAACAAAGATTAGGGACCATATGTGGACTGTTTTTGATGATTTTGGGAACAAATTTTCGAGAACTTAGAAAACACATGAATCGTTTACTGTGCACCTTAATGTACCACTATAAAAATATTTTTTTTTTATTTTTTGCGTTCTTTTTCCCTAATCCCCCCCTCTCTCTCTTTTGCTGACACTATGAATTTGTCATCAACCCACAGATCCAGTGACTGGAAGCACAGATTTGGAAACTAGAAGCACAGATCCGGTGGAATGCGCATCTCCGGCGAACTCCTAAGATCCCACTATCAAATCGATGCCTTCTCTTTCTTTAGATCAACAGCTCCAGCGTCTCTCTCTATCTCACTCTCTTTCTTTCTCTCTCTCTCTAGCTGAGACCATAAATCTGTATTCAACCCACATATCCGATAACTGGAAGGCACAGATCTAGTGGAAGGCGCAACTCCGGTGAACGTCTAAGATCCCACTATCGAATCGATGCCTTCTCCTTCTTTAGACCAAATAGCTCCAAAGTCTCTTTCTCTCTAAGCATCTATACAAATCTAATCAGATCTATACATGATTTACAGATCTAATTTTTTCAGATCTGTAAAGCCATAATTAATTTAAATGATTAAAGCACCGGTAAACATGATTTATAATAAAATTCACAGATCTAGGTGTAATATGATTGAAATTAGGTTTAATGTAATGGCCATTTGAGTATAATATGTTTATTTTGATCATTGGAATCAATTTTTTTTTTTTAGGGAAATCATTTATTTTTGGGTTATTATTTTTATTATTTTTTGGATTACTGTCTAACCAGGTTTTATTGTTTTCTGTTCTATACAACTGTTTTTGAAATTATATGACCAAACAAGTTTTAGGCCACAAAAAATACAAAAACACTTTTTAAAAACGCTTCCCAAAATTAGTTTTTGGGTACTATTTTTTACAATGCAAACCAAACATGCCCATAGTTACAGATGGTGCCCTCTCTTCATATCTGCACTTTCTTAGCAACCAACAGAGCCCCGCACAACTTTTTGGCTTAGTAAAGCTGAGTTTAAACTTTTGCCTATGAAGTCCAATTAGAGCAAAATTTAGGATCAGAAGCATCTCTTTTCCCATTTCCTTCAAATTTCTCAGAAATTCAAACCTGAAGTTCTTCATAAACTCCACCACAGCAAAATTAAGACTCAACACAACTACAAAGCTCCAGCATTGACTAATCAAATCATCCAATAAACATAGAAACACACACACACACACACACATGCATGTGGATCCAAACTTGAACGAAATTGACAAAATTTGTAATTGAGAGGATCCAAATCCCATAAATGTGTATCAACAAGTTTGTCTATTGGCAATGGCAATATCAAAAATAAAATAGAACTAAATAAAACCCGTAAAAATGTACCTTCTGTGCATCTCGGCGAACACCATACCCACTACTATACATCTGACCCACCAACACCTGCATATTAAAATCCCCAGCTTTGGCCTCTCTGAGGGTATCTTGGAACCACCCCTTCACACAAACAGAAACAACCTGTGAAAGAGGTATACGCAACTGCTTCTCTCCGAGGTTCTCACTCTCACTCTCACTCTCACTATCCTCCATCTTCCTCTTCAGCTTCGATGATATCAAACACTTTGGCGACGAGGGTTTTGCGGGTTTGGGGGTTTTGATGAGTTGTGATGCAATTCCAGTGAGTTGTTGAACTTGAAGCTTAGCTTTTGCTGGTGATGTGGGCGGTGATTTACCCATAAGAAGAGAAGAGAAATTTACACATGGGTGTATGTGATAGGTGAAGGCATGATAACTCTATGTACATATGGGTCTACTTGGCCAGTTTGTAGGAAGATTTGTGCTTTTTCTTCAAGCTGTAGAAGAGCCGAATCGGCAGAGACAGCTATCACCTATCAGCATATAAGAAAATAGTAAACGACGTCGAAGACTGAGTCACTTGTAAGTTTGTAACCCAGGGCACAATTTGTACGGACTAACTCGAACTCAATTCCAACCTAACTCCAAAAAATAATGTTAAATTTGAAATTTTCAGAGTTAGAGTTAAAATGATTCGTCCCAAATTAAATTCAGACAAGATTTAGATTAAAAGCTCGGGTTCACGTGCTCACTTGTTTGGATTTGGTTATGTTTTGTTATTTTGTAAGGTAGTTCTTCACAATCAGATTTAGGACAAACTATCAAATGAGTATACAAAAAACATTATGAGTGATGCTTTTTTTCTCCTAAAGTAATGATTAATGGCTCTCATGGGAGCGCAACTGAGATAGATTAGAAAGGCGAAGGGATTAATTTAAGGTCAATAATGATGGGTGTGTTTGGGTAATGGAGCAGGATAGGATAGGATTTTTTTTTTTTTTT